CCTATTAGGGGGGCTCTCGTGGCCTAGAGGTTAAGGTGTTCGCCTCTCATTCAAAGGTCCCGGGTTCGAATCCGGGTAGCGACCAAAACATTTTCTTCTCTAAATTTGTCTCCTTTCACCTCCTTTCCTACTCTCTTGCAATGTTCTGTCATCTGCTTTCGTCTCCTCTTTCTGCCCCCCACCCCTTCACCTCCTTTGCCCCCTCCTCTGGGCTCCTGATTCTTTCTGCAGCCTTTCTACTGCTACTCATTGGCTTCTTCTTACTGCTGTCTTTCAGCCACATCCCTGATCTTCTGGTAGGAAAGATCTACACCTAGCCTTCTCGGACAAGGGCGAAAAATCTCGGAGGTCCCGTGTGCAAGTTGTGCACGTTAAAAAACCCTTGGTGGTCTAAAATCGATAAGAGTAGGCTTCGGCCGCCACCCGCGCAAAATTCAAAATTTCCTACCAACTGAAAAAGTTTAGTGTGTCCCGCGCGCTCATATGACCTTATGCAGTTGCGAGCGCCGTAAAACACTAACAAAAACAAACAAACAAACAAATACCTATTAGAGTAACTTAGAGCTTCACAGTAATGTATTAAATAGATGCACCCCAGGTCTAAAACTGAACAGGGAAAAATAATTCTGTCCAGAGCCTGAAAAAAATCATGGACGGAATCAGTTAACATTCGCCGTAATTGGCGTCACTTTGCGACGTACCGGAAGTCCGAATTTTAGCCTACTTTTGTTTTGAACGGATCATCAACAGTGCCCGGATATAATTATTTTCTTGAGTGACTTCCCCTTACCCGCTTCCCCAGAACAGCGGAGGCAACGGGGGAAAGAGAAAAGCGAAAGTAGTCATTGCCGTCAGCGTCCGGTGACACACAAGAATCTGACGTACTTGACTGTTTTGAGAGTTTTTAGGCTACCCTATTGAATAGGTGTTTACAGTGGATTCCTGGAACAAGAGTGTGATGTGTGAACAAACTTCGAGAGATGGGTCATTTCTGTGGTTATAGATTTAGCTTTTGTGCTCAGTGATGACGCTTGGGGTGTCGTCATGCAGCCGTACAAGACTGACGTACTAGAAATTACATTGTCCTAAGAGCAAACATGTTTTAAATCATGTGTGCTCTTTTTACTCAAACAAATAAACAAACATGTCCTGGTTTATCTGTCTAACTCAAAAATACACTTTTATTCTTTGTTGGTATGATATGCCTTTTTCCAACACATTGTGTCATCATTGTTATTTACAAGTAATGTTTGTCATCATTGCTAATATCAATAAGTTTTCAACATATATTTCATACATGCAAGATTCATTTAGAAGCAAAATACGCCTTTATTGATCTGTGTATTTCATAGTGCAAATTTGTTCTTTGTAGGCATGATTTTACCTTTTCCCAGTATGTTTTGTCATCACTGTTATGTACGAGTACTGTTTGTCATAATTAGCAACATAATTGTGATCGTCCACTGTCTTTGATATGACCTGATATCAGTTTCAAAGCAAAAGAAACCTTTCCTGGGTTTTTTTATAATTCTTAGAGTACGCATTTCTCTCTGGAGGCATGACTTTGTCTTTTCCTGTACATTGTGTCATCATTGTTACGTACAAGTCATGTTTGTCATCATTGTTACGTACAAGTCATGTTTGTCATCACTGTTATGTACGAGTCAGCTCCATTGATTTCGTGCTTTTGTCTCATATTAGTTTAAAAATTGTTTTACACATGCCTTTTTCTGGTACTGAGGCTTTGATAACTGTATTTGTACAGCCTTTCACTATTGTGATGTGTTGTCAATGATAATGTCCAATGTGTGTCCTTTCTTGTACATAACAATGAGGACATGTTCTGAGCACTGCGTCATTGTTACAAAGCTTGTTATTTATATTACCATTGTGAATGGAGTTCATAGTGTACAAACTCTTTGTTTACTAAACAAATGGAATTTAAAGTCCATAATTTGTCTTGCTGCTTATCTGTTTTTGTCATCACTGTCACATACAAGAAATACAGTGGTTGCCAAACCAATAGACCCATATCTCCAAAACCCTACAACTCCTTGCTCTGATACTCTAGGAATATGAGCACTAAATGTCAATCTGTGACTGACAGAAAAGGGAGTCAAATTGGTAAGAAAATTTTTTTTGCACCACTGAGTCTCAAGAGAGTCTTACGTTTTGGCAATTGCTCATATATATATATATATATATATATATATATATATATATATATATATATATATATATATATATATATGCATTTTCATTATGTACCAGGTACATCATAAGGCAATGATTAGAGTGAAGGGTTAAAAGACTTCAATTCAAACCAATTTCGCCATGAAATAATATCTTATGAAAATACAAGCTTATTGGTAACAGACAAAATGGTGTTTGGGTTGAAAAGTGGATGTGTTGTGTCCTAGACCCTTGCATGCTTGGTGTTGCTAAAGAGGTCATGTAGGCTTTCTATCGTAATGAGGTAATATCTGCTGAAATTTCATTGGAGGAACAAAAATACAGTCGTACCGACGCTATGCATTGTAAAATTCAATTTATTTTCCTGGTGCACATGATACAAACACTAAGGAAACTTGAGCTTTAAACACTTGCTCCACTTTGCTTTTACACAGATTTACACACGGCGTCACTTTTCGCCCGATTCTATTACTTTTAGTTCGCGTGACTCAGCAGCCCGCCGGAGCTCCCCGGCTCGGGGTTACG